ATTTTTAAAGTTTTACATTTCTCTAATTTTTTTTTTTAAAAAAATTATTTTGATTATAATCCATTCAAATATAATATCTGCAAATATGATTTGAACAAAATGGTTCTAACCCATTAAATAAACTTGTTTTATCTTTTTTTAAAAAAAATTATCCATCCCCACAGACCAACCCCCCCCCCCCCAAAACCTTTCACTACCCTATCCCAAAAAAAAATTTATTTCCAAAAATAAAAAAAATCTAGTTCCAAATGTAAAATTTACCCCCTCCCTCGGACACCCACAGCCCGACCTCCACCTTCGACCAATCGATTCCCAAATTTTTTTATTTTCCCCAAAAAAAAACTAATTTTTATTTTTAAAAAAATTATCCCCACTCCTGCCTACTCACTCACCTTCCACTAACCTACATCTATTTATTTTTTTCAAAAACAAAAAAAATCTATTTTTTCAAAAATAAAAATAAAAATTTGCCCCCTCCCTTAGGAACCCCGGGCTCGGGCCCACCTTCCACCAATCAATCTTGTTTTCCAAAAAAAAATACAATTATTTATATGGACTGGATATGAATTCTCATGTTAATCTATTTTGTCCATATTTATAAGAGTTTAAATAGGTTGAAAACCATATTAAAATCATTTAATAAAAGAAAAGAAATATGAATAAACTGATTTCATTTCACGTATATATGAACTGAAATTGTCACCCCTCGTTATTACATAGGAATGCCTGGAATAACAGCGTGGGTGGGCATAGAAAAAATTGGAAATGCTAAAGAGGGATCAAATGTTTATATATCGGCTGCAGCAGGAGGAGTTGGAATCATAGCTGGACAGCTAGCTAAAGTTAAAGGTTGTCGAGTTGTCGGAAGTGTAGGCTCCGATCATAAGGTATATATAACTCTCTCCATCTGTTTACTTTTACTTGTCCATTATATTAAAAATAAATATTCAAACTATAGTATTATATTGTTATATTTATTTTTGTAGGTCAAGTTGTTGAAAGAGGAGTGTGGGTATGATGAAGCTTTTAATTACCGTATTGAGACAGATTATGATGCTGCATTAACCAAGTAAACTATTTTGATTTTTATAGCCATTTTTTCTCCTTATTTTGGGTTAATAATACCTTACTATAACTTAAAATTTACGTTACTTTTTTATAGATATTTTCCGAATGGAATTGATGTATATTTTGACAATGTTGGTGGTAAAATGCTTGAGGCTGTCCTTAGTCACGTCAACCATGGAGCTCGTATTGCACTTTGTGGAATGATATCAGAGTACAACAAGGTATTTTTGTACTATATATTATAATTATATATTTAATATTCGAAAACTTACTGACTCGACATATCTATGGACTTTGTAGGTTTGGACAGAAAGAGAAGGAGTTAGGAATTTATTGAACATGGTGGGTAAAGAAGTTATGATGAAAGGATTTATGGTTGGTTCATATTATAATACTTTGAGGAATTTGTAAAGGAGATGGAAGTTCACTTGAAAGAAGGTAAAATAAAGTCTAAGCACAAAATCTATAATGGTATTGAGAACTTTTTGGAGAGTTTAACATCTATATTTAGTAGCTCCAATGTTGGAAAAGTAATTCTTCAAGTTACTCCTTAAAAGTAATTCTCATAATCATTAAACAAGCAAAAAAATAGACAATGTATGTATCTATTTATGCTTGTTTACTATTGCTAAATTATTTTTTATGAAAATGTTGTATGACTTCTATAAGAGGAGGTATATGTAATAATGTTTGATTATATTTGTGACAGACTAAAAGATCAACGTTAGTTATATTTGTTGAATATCTAATCTCTATTTAGAATGTCTGTCTGAATATGATTTCAAATAACAATTGAATCAAACAAACAATAAGTGTATATGTTACGACTTATGTATATGCATATGACATATCAAACATGTGTTATAGGTAAGCCATAAACTCAACAAAATGTATATTTTATGTGTATAATATCAAACATGTGTTAAAGCAAGCTACAAATGCAACGGCACCCTCATTCAAGAACAAGGACTATATCTTGTGAAAATTATGTCTCAAATCAACAAAAATCATTTGAAATTTTTGCAACAACGTTGAAGAAATCACGTCTCAAACTTAAGTAACAAAAAAATTCCAAAATCCTAGGTTTCTTTTCTAAAAGATATATATAATATGATTGACGAGATCTATTTTAAGAGATTTATAACAGGAATATGTATTTGTGTATGTATTTGGCCTTGTTTATATGATCACTCAATCGTTTGAAAATAATATAACAAAATTATTTTTTATGTTCTCTTTCCTCATTCTGTATAAGAGGGAGTTCCCTAGAACGACCAAGGTACTATCATAATTTTCCTTTTGAGGTGACCTATTAACATAGTCACTTGCTTGCTCATTAAGTTTCCACGTGGGTTAAACATAAGGCCTAGCTAGGATCGAGCTCAATAAGTTTGAAGGGTCTAAGATTAAATTTTATAGGGAGACCTTATTCTTTATAGTTGTCAATTGTCATATGTAAATTGAGTGACTATAATATATTTAATATAATCCTACAAATGAAGATAAGTAAACAATAAAATAAAATTTATTTCATATAATACTTGAAATTTTAATAATACACCAAAAAATAATTTTGATTTTTTATAAGCACATAATAATAGATTTTGTATAATGCAAAGATTTGTCTATTTGATAGACTTTAGAAATTAGGATATTCAATAAGGATATAGTAAAAGTTAGAAGGGGGGAATAAAAAGGGTAAATGTAAGAATTAGTAATGTGGGTTCATCATAATTGTTAAGATATCAATAAGTCAACAAAATAGGTGATCACATTATAAACGATTCTACAGTTAACTAAACATTATTCTATTTTTTAATTATTGCAAGGAGTTCCACTTTAAATAAAACAAACAATTACTATTGTATTTTTTACTAATTAAAAAGTTTTTTTTCAAATTTATCAATGTATAATATGTAGAAAAAATTTAAAGGTCCAAGCGATTGATTTAGTAGCTTTATGATCAAGACCTGAAACTGAAACTAAACCAATTTTCTTGTTCTGTATTTGTAGTTTGCTCCCATTCTTTCCTTTCTTCCTGCCCATCCCTTTAAAACTTTGTTCATTTTTGCTTCATTTAGGTTTTCTACTCTTTCATACAATTTATTGCTACATTTTTATATTCTATCACATACTTGAAAATAGATGTTTGTTACATGTTATTGTATCTAATTGCAAAATGCAAATGCCGTTTAAGAGAAGACTATCTGATTGCAAAATGCAAGTGTCGTTTGCTTAAAGGCTTCTATTCCATTCGTTTCAAAAAAGGGTGACGTAATTTGAATGATACGAAGTTTAAGAAAAATAAATAAGTTCTTTTTTAAATTTTATGGTTTTAGATTAAAGTTATGTCAAATATATAAAATTGTCCTTTAATCTTGTGCTCTTAAACATGTCACATGAAAAATTAAAGTTAAAATATTACCAAAAAATAAAAAGAATAATTTTTTTTAAAACAGATTAAAAAGAAAATTATGCACCAATATGTGAACAAATTAAGAATAACTTGCTCCTTTCACATCAACCCTTAGCTCCAAAAATTTGCCAAACAAAATGGAGTTTGAAGCCAATTTTGTTAAGTTTTTTTTTTTTTTTTGGACTGAACACAATTATGATCTAACGTCAACAAATTAAATTTTTCATAATTAGCTATCATTAATCACTATATAGAATACTTAGATGTTACAAAACAATCTATATCTATATATATATATATATATATATATATATATATATAAATGAGGATCATAGAGGTGATGTGACACCTCTCTATGACCTCCATTCATTTTTTTTATCTTTTTTCTTTTATTTGACTTTTTTTCTTATTCGTTTTTTGTGTCGGCTGAATATCAGCCATATGTACAAAGTAATAATCTTTTATTCTTGTCGTGTTGTGTCGGCTCTAAAAAGGCAATTATATAAAAGTCGTAAAATAAATAGTAAGTGTGTCGGCCAATAATAAAGATAGGCCACTAAGTTTTTTGTTTTTAGCGTCGGCCATATGTAAAAAAGCCAAGTGTAAAGTAGGTGTCGGCCATTTTTGGCCAAAGAGGTAAGATTGTTGTATATAAATGGAGGGTTTCCCCTCATAAATAAAATCATCAATCTTCCATCATCTTCTCCTCTCTACAATATTTTCTTTTCCGCTTCCACCCCAATTTTTTTTTATAACTTATACCTCTTTAATTATATAAATTCTATTCTTAAATTAGTATTAATAATATTCATAACTCTCAAACCTTTCATATTCATAACCTCTTAAACCTTTTATATTCATAACTTCTAATTATTTAATGTGAAAGGTTATATTAACACTATAAAATCACACTAAAATTGTATTTGTAGTCATCTCTGGTAGAGAATTAGTGGAAGAAATGTTGCAATAGTTGTAAGCTTTGAGGTGCATTATTTTTTCAAATATTATTTCATATATTACTTTTAATTAGCAAATAAGACTAATATGTCATCATATTTTTATTTCTTCTAGATAAATTATTTTGTTTTGTTATCTTTGAGATTTATTTTATGACTAATAATGTATTTGTTTTGATTTTTCTTGACTCTTGTATATATGATGAAATGATAACATCAAGCGATGAAAATAAGTGGATTTGAGTTAAATATATTGATTATTTGTCCAAAATGATTATGTAGGAGAATTTATGATTAAATGTAATTTTTCCTTATTCTTTATGAGATATAATATGTTATTTTGTTAACTTTGAGATTCATCTTAGGACTAATAATTTATTTGCAATTATTTTTCTTGACTCTTGTATATAGGATAAAATGATAAAATTCAGAGATGGAGATTAATGATTTTTGAGCTATATAGTGTTTATTCTTTATTTTTTTAGGTCCTTAAGAAGTAATGTTTCTATTATATTATTTCCTTTTGAATTATTTTTATTTTGTCAAAAATGATTATATGTGTTTAAATATAATGTTCTCCTTATTCTTTATCTTTTTCTTCTTTTGGTAGATAATTTTTTAACTTATTTAATCAGATTTGCCGATTATAGAAGATATATCTATAGTGAAATACATTAAATCTGAGCAACGTTTGAAAAGTGTTGCCTAAAATATTTTTGGGAACACTTTTTAAATGTAGCCTAATTTTTTAACTTTTCGCAACGATAATATTGGCAACACTTATAAAGTATACCATTTAATGATATAGACTACACTTTATAAGCGTTGTCATAGTATGAAATAAATGGCAACAATTATGTATATATATGGCCACACTTTTAAAGGGTCCTATTTTTATAATTGTAAAACAACATTATAGAAGTGTTGCCTATAGTTTCCCTCCAACATTTTCAAATATTTCACTAAAATATTTGATTCCCTCCAACATTTTCAACTCCCCCTCCTATTATTTTTGGCCAAAGCTGAAGAGTAGCACACAATTTTTCTTCTCCAAAACTTTAAATCGAAGAGTAGAAGATGGAGATCGAAGAAAGGACGTTGAAAACTGAAGAGAAGAGCTGAAGATTGAAGAACTGAAGCTTAAAACAAACTTCATCAAGCGTAAGTACCAATTTTATACAGCTTAAATTCCTTTTCACTCTCTTCTAATCATCTAGTACTAAAAATAGTCAATTAATTGAATTTTTGTTTTGTGTTTAGAAGTAATTGATTAGTTTGAGATTGTTATTGCTGAAGAATCGAAGAGCACTGTGATTTCTCTGAACATGAACTGAAGAAGACGATTTTCCTCTCAGCTTAGTTGTTCAAGATTGGAGAGCTGAAGAAGACGATTTTCTTCAAAGATTTCTGGGTAAACTGCTATTCCATCAGATTTCCTTTTGAAAATTGAAAGAAAATGCTTCAAAAATTTGTTTATATGAAATCTGTCAAAACGCGGCTGGGTCGACGGACCTCGCGACGGGACATCGTGGTCACGACGAGACGTCGTGAACCTCGCGACGGGCCGCCGTGGACCTCGCGACGGACTGTCGTAGTCATGAGAGGCCGTCGTGGTCATGACGGGCCATGGTATTGACGTTGAGAATAACCTTATCTATGAAAATCTACTTATATTTGAACCATTCTACATAAAGTACCTTGTAAAGTTAGAACATGTTCTACTTATATCACCTTCTCGGCATTTAGTATTGACTTGTTTCATGCCACTTTGGATAGAAGATTACTTGGATGTGGCTATCATGTTCCAGTAAGTGTTATTACATTTGTATTTTAATTAGAATTACGCAGACTTGTACTACTTTGTGATTCTTCTTACATCTACATAATCTGTATTTTTCTTGATAAGTTGACCTAATGTATGTTTTTGCTGTGAATCCGATTTTCATGTCTTGAGTTCTCTATGACTAGATCTTTTATATTGTGTTTGTATGTGATGGGATTTAATCGAATTATTATCCAACTCCATCATTATTAATTGTAAACTCATTTTTTTGATACTTTGTGATTTCCTTTAGTGAATTCTATGTCCCAAAAGTTTGTGGAACTGTGATACTTGATCTTTCCTTGAACAATTATCATGTTATTATTTGTAATACTCATGAACTGTGATACTTGCAAGTTTCTTCTGCTGCTTTTCTGATCTTCATGACGAACATGCAGGACGGACCGTCATAGCTACGCCAGTCCGTCACGCTTTCCGTTACAGCTGAACAAGTTTGTTCTGCTACTTATCTGATCTTTATGACGAACATGCAGGACGGACCGTCATGGCTACGACGGTCCGTCACGATTTCCGTTACAGCTGAAATTTCAAATTGATTAATTGTTAAATTTCTTAATTTTGTGTTCTTTCTTGATGGAACAGATTTGTTTACTAGAGGAATTGATATTCAAGCAGTTAACGTTGTTTTGTTAGTTTGCGTGCATCATGGTTATTGTATAACACCAAATATTTTATATTGTTTCTTATGAAGTTTGAACCCTAATGCAATATCTTATTTGTGTAGGGAAATGGAGGTGATCAAATTTGAAGTGGATGATGAAGAGTTTTTGAACTATTGTAAAAGTTTAAATACATATTTGATTTATTGTGTACACATTTAGAATATTGATGTATAAGTATGGGTATGTACACAATACATACTATCTTTTGGTTGTACATGAAATATTTCTCGATGTTTATTTGAAATATATAGCTTCAATTTGATGATTAATTAGTTCATTTTGTGTTTTAGGTCACTTGTATGTATGTAAATATATTATATATATTTGTGCTACATGTAGGCTTATAAATGTTGAAGTTACACTTTGTAAGTGTTGCTCTAGGTAGATAAAAAGTTACACTTTGAAAGTGTTGCAATAGATGACCAATAAAAGGCAACGCTTTTAAGTGTAGTCTAAAAAAAATAGGTGTTGCTAATGCACGTCTTCAAAGCGTGCCCTTATACCTATTTGGCTACGCTTTATAAGTGTTGCCAAAGATGGCAACATTTAAAAAGTGTTGCCTAATGTCAAAGGTTACGCTTCTTTTGGGCAGCTCCTAAAAAGTGTTGCTAAATGTCCAAAAGTGTAGCCTTTTATCAAAGGCCACACTTTTTGCTAGTTTAGGCTACACTTACGTGGTGTTGCTGTAGGCCGAAAATGGTGTAGTGAAATGGTTAGACATTCTTGCATAATTTGAGTTTACAAGGAAAAATAATTTGATATGTCTAATATAATTACAACAAGGAAAAATAATTTGATATGTCTAATATAATTACAACTCTTTCTTTGTTGAATCATACATTTAATATTATTTGTTTATGTTCATGAAGATAGAAATCTTGAATTTTTTTAATAAAAAAACATCTAATTTATTCTCCTTAGACCTCTATATGATTCTTAGATAATTTAACTATATATAATGATAACATTCTTCAAAAATAATTATTTGTTTAGATAAATTCATCTCACTTTTTTATTGATAATATTAGTTTATTGTGTTTGTGACTTATAATATTTTAAAACATAGAAGTAGAAATCGATATGCTACTTAAAGAAATATGTGCATATACTTTTATAATCCGGTGAAACAATTTTTATTAACAAAAATAATAGAACATAAGAATGTAAAGTTAATTTATTATTTTTAAAATACACATGGTTTTATCAAAAATAAATTATTTATTAATATGTAAAATTACAATTCTTAAATTTTTCATTTTTGTTGTTTTTCTTAGAATATTTCAAGTTGTTTATTAATAAGTTTTTATGTTTTCATATTTGTTATTTTTCGGGAGTTCTAAAGTTAATTCAAAATTACGATTAATTTATAATTTTAAAAATTTAATTGGTTTCCTACCTTTCTATTTACTTATAATAAAATATTTGTCTCAATAACTCTAATTTGTTTGTTTTCATTTTCTATAGTTAATGTTCTTTATTAGTGTAATAATGTACAAATATTACTCTTATTATGTTACAAAAGTCATATTATTAATTCTTTTAGTTACTGTGACTTTTTGTTCTTAGGAATTTATTATGTTAAATGTAATATTTATTTAAAATGTGAAATATATTTTTTAATATTTTGTGTTTAAGCCAAACAAAATTAAAAAAAATAAATAGGAATTGTGTATGTGTTATTTTCTTGAATCTTTTTTTCATAGTTAATTCTCTCTTTTGTTTTCTTTTATGTTATTTTTAAATTTTACATTTTTCCCAATATAAATTGTCCCCAAAAAAATTGGATATCTAAACCTAAGTATAATGATGATGATGATAATAATAATAATAATAAGTATGAAATTTAACTAATTAAGATTTTTAAACTTTTCTTTACTTAAAATTTAATTATTAAAAAGTTATTAATACAAATATTAAATTAATCTAATATTGTACAGTAAAAATAATTAAAACATGTGATGATTGAGTCATGACGAGGACAAGTAATAGTAATTGTGGATAATGATTTATAATAGTGTTGGCTAACTATATAGTCATGAATACTAACCATTAATAGCAATCCGAGTTATACATTGCCGAAAAATTATACTAAGAATATAATTTATAAAATTACAAATAAGCAAAAAAAAACGATTAGATTTAAAGTTTACATAAATATATATAAATTATACTAAGAAACTCTCAAATAAAAAAGAAAAAAATGATCACAAGTTTACATTTAAGTAGTTTTAATACTACCCAATTCTTATTAGTTATTACCTTTTCTTTTTCTCTATAAAATTTATTTTTAATTTTTTACTTTTCGAAGTTCACATATATTGATTTCTTAATAAATTTCATATTTAATCTAAATATTTTTCATAGTTTCTCTTCCATAAAATTATGTGATTAACAAAAAATTCTTTTTATTAAAGTAATTATTGATATTAATATGTAATTTTATTTTAATCTTTTTTTATAACCGCGCGAAGCGCGGCTAAGTACACTAGTGAAAAAATAAGTCGAAAATCAATCTCCTTATTAGTGTGATTGATTTAGTGGCCTTCTAATCAAGGCGATCCTGGAACTAAGCCCAACTACTCACGTGTGGCCTTTCCCTAAATTATCTGTATCTTTTGACTACAATTTTCATTTTTTTTCTATTGAGTTTTATTCTGCTATCAGTATCTCAATTTTTTTATCGGAAAAAGGGTTAAAATTTTCCAGGAATTATGTGAAATAGACCATTCATATCCTTCATTACATTTTGGGATAAAAAATATCTCCGTCGTTATCCTAGAAGACCACAAATATTCTCAAGAGTTAACACCCTAATTTTTCAGTGACGTAACAAGCCATATAGGACTAATCCCTCCACCTAAGTGATGCCAACTAAAATTCACTACAAGAGATCTTGACCTTTAGTGGCGACAAAGTCGCCACAAAATCCCAAAATATTGTCAGGGTTATGAGTGACTTTTAGTGGCGACTAAGGCTCCAATAACCATATGCTAATAAAACTATATTTTCAACAAAAAAAATATGACAATTAATTTTTGATTGCAACCTAAATTTCTAAAATAAATAACTTGCAGTACTAATATTAAAAATATCAAATATTATTACGAAAAATCATGAAAATTACTTCTTGATTCACATCTCCTACTATATAATGCATCATTATACATTTTATACATTTACATATGACATAAAAATAAGACATAATATCTTCAAACTCCTACTTAATTGATATCATTTTTGTTTTTCTTTTTTAAAAAAATAATGAAGAAAAAAAATACAAAATTAGAATTTAATGTTAAAAACTTTTAGTGACGATTTCTAGGCTTTTACGGCGACTATTGTCGCCGCTAAAAGTCTAGTTCTTTTGTATTGAATCCTAGTTTGCAATGGTTAGGTGGAAGGATTAGTCCCACGTGGCTTTCGAAGTCAATAAAAATGTGAGGTGTTAACTCTTGAGGGTATATGTAGTCTCTTAGGATAACAATAGGGATATTTTTTATTCCAAAATATAACGAAGGATATAAATGATCTATTTGACATAGTTCAGGGACAATTTTGATTCTTTTCCATTTTCTTGTTATATGTATTTGTTGTTTGCTCCAATTCTTTCCTTTCTTAGTGCCCATCCCTTTAAAAGTTTGTTCTTTTTTGCTTCATTTAGTTTTTTCTACTTTTTCTTGCAATTTATTGCTACATTTTATATTATGCATGTGTTTGTTATGAAGGAAAATATTTCTTAATAAAAAATAATTTCATAGAATTTTTTTTTAAAAATAAACAAGTGTATTTACAACTTATTTTTCATGTTTGATTGGAGCGTAGAAAATATTTTTTAATGTTTGGTTTGTGAATGAAAAAAAATTTTCAAAAAATATCTTTATTTTACTTGAGACTAAAAAAATACTCTTTAGAAAATAATTTCCAATTTGAAAATCAACTCCGATAATTGATCTAGGACCCGACGACAACATTAATAATAGGACAAGACCCCGATGACCGTTTCAAAATTTGACCAGACCCAAAAAAAATAATATTTCAAAAACAATACGTTTTAAAGAAAAATTGTCAGAGTCGCCCGGGGTGGGGGGTGGCGTAAAAACTGAATTTTTTAAAATTTAAAATAATTTCTAAAAATATTTTTTTTTTTATGGAAATGGCCTAGGTGAGGGATGGGGTAGGGGGTAGCGGAGAGTAGGGGTGACGTAAAAATGAAAAAAATAATTGAATTTGAAATATTTTTTATTTTTTTTTAAATGACAGGGTGGCCTAGGAAGAAGGGGGGAGAGCGGGTAGGGGGTGGCATAAAAATATCTTTTTTAAAAAATGAAATACTTCCCAAAAATAATTTTTTACTTAATATTTTTGACGGGAATAACCTGTGTGAGTGGGATAGGGGGATAAGGATGGCGTAAAAATGAAAAAAATTAAATTTGAAATATAAAATAAAAATAAAAATTGACGAGGGTGTCTAGGTGTGTGGGGCATAAAAGAATGACCTAAAAATTGAAAATTTCCAAATTTTCAAACTATTGAAATTCTCAACTTTTCAAATTCATTCATTTCCCATCAACTCTTGCTACATACCCAACACCTCCTATAAATTGCTTCTTTCATATACGTGAAATTAAGAACTGAAAATAATACTTTGTTGCCTCCACTTACTTTTCCATTTCCTCTGGCCTCTTTGTTTAGTTATCGTAGTAATATTTATCTAATTTTCACAACTATTATTGTTATTGTTACCCAAAAAAATGGCTACGGCAGAATTGGAGAGCAGAGAGTGGTATGTTGCTAGTTATGCACCAACTGGTGTTCCCAATTCTGACCATATTAAGCTACGCACTCTGACTCTATCGATCCCCGATGATCATGTAGCATTCCAAATCCTCTATGTCTCTATTGATCCATACATGCGCACTCAATTGAGTGGCCTCCATGATGGCCTCTCACTTCCTCAAATCCCTCTCGGCCAGGTGTACTACGTACTCACTCTCTGTTTCATTTTATGTATCTTAGTTTGATCGAATATGATTTTTTTTATAATATATGAAAAATTGCAGGTGATAACAGCATTTGGAATCGGGAAGGTGGTTCGATCTAAGGATACAAATTTTTCAGAGGGAGAATTAGTAATGAGCCGTATTTGCCCTGTTGCTGAATTTGGTGTTCTGCCTTCTAATTTGCTTCAGAAAATTAATCATGCCCATGGAGTTGCCTTGCCGGATTATCTTAGTTGCTTAGGTAGACTAATTTTCAAAGTTTTACGTTTCTCAACAT